AATGCATTGAGAAAATGAATTATGAGCTTACGATTCTTTTTTTGCTTTTATTACCTTTTTTAAAATTCATTCTAAAATAAACTTTATCAACAATGAAGCCATGTAATTCCTCATCATAGAAAAATTATTACTTCATTATAAATGTTACCAAATATATCATAGATTTACATATAATCAAAATCAAATTTTACAGAAACTTTGTAATCAAAATTTAAAATTTTTCCCAATTTCCTGAACAACCTGAGCTTGTCTTCGTCTAATTAATTGTGTTTAAACCTTAGCAATCAGAGCAGATTCACAACCACTTCCTGTAAAATTCATTAAGTGAAAATTTCAAATTTCCAAACAGAGTTTTCTGATAAATTCATATCTGGTTTCAAAAAAAAAATTATTACAAAAATTGCTGATTCTGATGTTTTCAGATTGCCTCCCACAATTCAGCCTCAAAACAGACAAGTACTTTTTCCCCTTTTTGACAAACTCAAACATTTTTATTTTCTAGTTACTCAAAACAATTAATGAAGTAGACAAAAGCATACACCAGGTACCAGTTTTTCCCCAATATCTAAAACCATACTTAAATTTGATTTTTCATAATTATCAACAAATTTTTTGTTTAATCTTTTCCAATTTTGAGAAATCTTTCAACACATTGAATGATAATGTAAACATGACTTGCATCCCATTACAGAACATACACTTCAATATGTTGGTTTGGACGCTTGTAAGGCCGTTATTTACCGACAACATTCGTGTCTAAATACTGGCAATCTGCTTCTCATTGACGTTTAAATGAACAAATTCGTCAAAAAAGTGTAAAATACACAAGCACAACATATGTCCCTAGTATGTTTTCTGTGACAACCATTTGGATATGACCGGGGATCTTGTTGAATAAACATGGGTTCAAACCCTTAAAAGAATTGTAAGCTTGACATGAAAGGTATCACTGTATCTTAACTTTGTTTTACAAATCTAAAAGGAATGATTAATAGTATTAATTAAAAGTAAAAGTTTGGTAAACACAAACAAGTGTTTATATTATACAATTATTGAAGGTGGCTGGTGTCTATATATAGTGATAAACAAGTGTTTATATTTTATATGTGTTTCTGTCTGCTCAGAGCAGATCATACTTTACTGTGTGTTAGGTACATTAGCAGAGGAAGCATTGGAGAGAGAGAGTGTCAGCACTGTTTGATGACAAAATAGATTTTAGTAGACAGACAGAGAAATCGTGCAAGTCAGTGTTCCAATCTGAGTGTCTACCTGCTCGAAGATCGATCAATGATGAAAAATGAGACATATGGACTATGACAGACAGACGGGAAAGCAGGATCACCACGAGAAACCAGAACACACATCACAAATGAACACTTAATGCATGTATCACCTCAGTATGACAGTGTGGTCCAACTTAAAACAATCACGCTGTCACTCTGTCACACCATCAAAAACAGCCAATTTCTACATCCTGATGGATTGGCTGCCTTTGTAGCTCAGGTGCAGCAGCTGACAAGATACAGGTAACAATGGCCAGGTGAGAGGTCATGTGACCCCCGTCCAGTCTGATGGACAAGCAGTCTGTCCACCCAAACATACAGTCAAACAAAAAGCTGGGGAAGCTGCCATATGTTTCACCAGGTCGTCTGTCTCTCGTTACTGTACATAAGAAATTGGTTTTCACTTTGTTCAATAATTGTTTCTTCACAACTGAATACAATAATCTTTGGATAATTACAGTGGCATCATCATTTTCTGGACAATGCCTGGTAAAAGCATTCAATCAAATTTCCCAGGGTAAATCTATATATAAAAATACCTTAAAACAAATTTATCTTATTTCTTAAACAAGAAAAAAACAAAAAAGAAAAACCAGAGGAATCTTTTATCTTAGTGTTTGTTATTCATCAAGAAACAAATATGTGCTTGTTTTTTTTTTTTAACTTTATATAACATTTATTGTACATGATGGATTTTATGTATGAAAATAAAACCTGTCTTTTTCAGATATTTCGAAATTTCCATGATTAATAAAAATGGATAACATTTAAAAGAAGGAAAAAAAATCTTGCAAAATATTTATTGCACTGATTTCTTCAGAACCCGTTTTTTATTTTGTAATTTTAATTATTTGTCTTTGGATTTTTTGTTTAATTATTTTGAAATATATGATTCTCTAGTAATTCCACAGCCTCATATTTCTAAAGCAATTCTACAGATAAATTTGCTGTGTTAGTGAGTTGCCAGTAACGAGGATTTCAATGAGGCTCCTGAGACTTTCTACATTATCTGTTATTATCTTCCACACTCACAATCCTGTTATCTATTGGAGACCGGCGGTGGAAAATTAACCTGAACAGGTAGCACAGGTGTTCACAGGTGAGCGTCGTAATTTCAGGTTAATTATAATGCTGCTACGACCAATCATTAGTCCCTATCCCTTACATAAACAGACCATAAACGTCGGAACAAATCAAGCATGCAGGCCTTCATCCACATCTTATTTCTCTCGCTATCAATTACCATATTTAGTGACATGAAAAGACAACTGTCTTTCTTGAATTTTGATTTAAAAAGAAATTTTTTTTTTTTTCAGTTTGTTTCTGAAATGATATATCTTCAGTTATTTCCAGTTTATTGTAGAAATATTAACATAATGCTGTATAAACAACAAATTTGGCACAAGTTTCATCTCACTATCTACATATCAACAAATTGTTTCATTATTATCCTATATTTGATCAATTACCAGTATCAATGAATCTAATTAACCATAATTCAATGTCTCTCAAGATTTTAAATCTCTATTTTTTTCCAAAATCAATGTACACATTTTCACAGTCTTATCTAATTTTGCTGAATTAGAATGGTGAAATTTCTATATATCTATGGCTGTGTATAGGTTCACCTCACAATATTGAATTCAGGTTTAGTGAATAAACATGTGTATGAATCAAGAACAAAGCAAAGGTGACAAATAAATGGCCACTAACCGGTATTGTCCACTCTGATTGACCAGGAGAAATTGACAACATAAACTTTGACCTGTATTGAGAAATACCAAACTAATGTTTTGGCCATTTGACCATTACAGATTGTTGTTATATGGCGGAGTACTTTTAGTCACACAGGTGTCAGAGACAAAACACATGAACAGGTCAACTATCCTGGAGAATGGTCATAATTCCAGTACCTTGGTGGACAAACCCGCGTGGTCAGTCTTGGCCACCGAAGTGTCAACACCACACAAGTAAATACTGACCAGTCAATTACAAACTAATTACAGCCAGGCACGAAACAACTATAATAACATTTATCTAAACAACAAGTAAGGATATTCAGCCTAGCATAACAAACTGCCAGTAATTGACCCAACAATTCAAACTGACCATTCAATGGCCAGAGATTATAGTGGACACTGTTGTCCAAGTATAATGAAGTTATGATAACATCATTACAGATACAGGTACAAACGCATGGCTAATACTGACAGCTTGTCAGTCACCTGAAACATTCCTAGTAAATTATAACACAATATCAGTGTTAAATGTATCATGATGTTGTAATCTTCACTAAACAAGATGATGTGTTTAAAGTCAACACTGCTGGGTAAAGTTTGAAAAAAATATCTTTTTTGGTAATATATACATGCAAGAAATGAACTAGGACAAGATTTAGAAATGATGCCTTTCCCTGTCCTACCAAGTAATTTATTGCTGGAAGTAGTTATGTTCATATCATTCTGATTTTCCAACATAACATTTTCTGTTCCTGAGATTGTATACAATACTTAACCTGATCAGTAGAGATCAAACTTAGTCCTCCACTCAATAATTACAGCAGGTTTTTTTTATGCAAAATAAAGCACACTTTTAAACAGTTTACTGAAACTCAGCCTACAGCATTAAGTAAAGTAAAATATTCATGATCAAAACCACTCATAACATAATGAAAATTTCTGATTTTTTTCCCGATGCCAGTATTGTTTTCATTTTTTCTCAATATTAAATTACTTCATTGAAAAATATTCACATCACATTTTCGAAAGATTTCCTATCCATATACAACATCCTTTTTGTGATTATGTTTTCGATGTTATAGACGATAACACTGTGAAGGTATAACTAGTAAATAACAATATTTTACCAACTTCAAAGGAACCCAGAAATTCCCCAGAGTTTTCATGACGTACATGTCTATAATATTGACCGGTTTTTCCACAATACAATATTTAAATATACACTGATCTCGTATTCAACATTAGGCGGTCTGTGAAATATTGTAATTTCATATATTGCATTCACAGGGACATATGGCACACAATCTTTATAAACAGAAATGTTTGTTACCGCCATTTAATGCAGATCAATATTTCCAGTGGTTCATACCAAGAGACCAACTTAAGTCAAACTTTATAATTTACTGCTTCTAGATATTTCTCACAGATATCTTTAGTTCTCTTGTCTTTTTTTGCTCTGTATAAATCCTCTCTTTTACAAAACACTAACGTTCTTATCTTACACAACTTATTTTAGCTTTTTGTTTTCAGCAATTAAATATTTATTTTAGATATTCCATGAAATGGGATAATTTACTGTAAAAGGGTAATTACGAAGACTTCAACTTGTATTTTCTCAAACCGAATTATTTTTCTGATTTTTTTTTTATGATAATATATATTTGCTATTGACAGGACCATTATAATACTGTCCTATTGTCATACATTGGAACTTGATCTCACTAATTCAATAATTCATAAATTACTCAAATCAATCAGCAAATTCATGTCCTTTTCGACCAAAGGCGTTGTGTTAATTCAGTCTTGAACAAACATCAGGTTAAACAATTCCTAGATATTGTGGAAGTTCTACTGGTTCTTTCACAGCCACATGCACTGTATACCACATTCACTGATCCGTGACCATTTCCTGTCCTAGCCTGCATTAGATTGAAGCTCACATTCACTTTTAACACTTAGACCTTTTGAAAATACCAACCTTCAATCGCCATCATAGCACGTAGCTCCCGATTCAACAACTCGAAACGTCTTTCCAAATCATCCTCTTTTTCTCTGTAGAAGAAGAAAACAAAATTTTACTCCTGTTTAGTTTGAGGAAACAAGCGAGACTAATAGTTCCTGCATGCTACTTATATAGCCCGAGAAACTTTACAGAAAAGCTGATTTCTTAACCAGCATTACTGTAATGGGTTTATGTCTAAAGATGATAATATTTTCACAATATACTTACAAGACTTAGAAGTTTTCTCTTGGGATAGCAAGGTAACTGATCCCTTCTAAACCTTTATTTCAGTAAACGAGAAAAACTACTAAAACTTCTGATCTGTCAAGCACATTTTGGGAGAAATCGCACATTTGGGCAGATTATGGGACGGGGAAGGCTAAAGGGAAGAAACAGCTGGCAGAAAAGGGTGAAATTAAGATAAAGAATAAAGAAGCTAAAGAGATTGTGGGCTTGGATTGATGTTCAGTGTGAGCCAGCTAAGACTACGTAAGACCGGCAAACAGCAGAAAGCTGCTTATACTCTTAATATTTTTCTAGTAAGGAGCTTGGCTTGAATGTTTCAGATAAAGTCTTAAATGGTCTTTGAAAAATTCATTCCACCAGCTACATTTGGTCGTGTGGGGTTTCCTTGTTGGTCTTCTCGCTTGTCAAGGAAGGAAATGAAACGGAGTCCTTGGAGGATTTTAAGCCCTGTATTTATTAGGTGATAGAAGTTATAAACAGCCTCTGTAGCCAGTCAACAAGAATGTGGAGACTGACAAATCGGAACACTGGCACATTTCTCCAGCGACATCGTAAAACAAGAGTCCCAATCTGCCAACCCTGTGACAACACTGAGACATGGGGTCGCATATCTTCACTAATTGTGATATTAAACTAACAAATGATTACCACTTCGCTGTTTAATTTCCTGGAACTCGTCCAAGTGCTCATATTTCTACAGAAATTTGTTTATTTCCAGATTGGCTAATTTTGTTTTGTGGAGGTTTTGTACTGGCATGTGATTGGGGAAATGATGACGTCTTCTGTAAGGCTTCTGTGTGTATAACCAGTTGGTTTTTTCCTTGTCGTGACGAAGTGACGAGCTTGACGGGATTCTATGTCTAACTTTTTTCCCCTTTTCCCTTCCTCCATATTGAAATCATACTGAATCATTGATGTAAAATTAAGAGAAAACTTTTCTTTTTAAATTTGTAAATGAATCATAAACTTTGAACTAAAAAGATAACAGTAGATGACTTTACAACACTTCACTAATGAACTTGAACATAATGATTTGTTGAGAATTTAACATTAAACTATAATTTAAAATCATAAAGCTTACATATGGTTTACAATGGAATTTAAAGTATTTTAATTTATAATTTTATTTTTATGAATATCTAAAACAATCTTTCTTAAATTTCAAGTATAATCTGCTCCAACAGATGCCAAGAAGAGATTAAACATTGAAGATATCTTTCAAATCCTCATCAGATATGAAATCTTCCAGACAGTGTTGTGATGATAGTTTATCTGTAGTGACACTAAGAAACAAGTATTAATAGAAAGATAGTCTTGATGATACAAGATATCAAACAAAAACACAAATATATCATTGTCTAAAAACTTAATACTTCAAACAAATTTCGTTTGACTTAAGTGACCTCTTTTTATATACAGTTGTATGTATTTTATCTTCAATTCAAAATTTACACAAGGAAAAAAAAGTTACCACTTAAAAATTCATCATCGTTATCATCTTATCCACCTTTCTTTAAAAAGATCAAGTTTTTTTTACAATGAATGGACTGAAACAGATAAATACCCATTGGGATAACTGCTAAATCATATATTTTTGTGGTGCTAAATTTTCATGTTTTTTTTTTATTTATTTCATGGATACATAGAGCTCAATACATGTCTAACCCTGATTATATCAGTTTGTTTACATATGTACTCACAGCGTAAAAATGTACTCGCAGAGTAAAAATGTACTCATAGAGTAAAAATGTACTCACGGCGTAAAAATGTACTCATAGAGTAAAAATGTACTCACAGCGTAAAAATGTACTCACGGCGTAAAAATGTACTCATGGAGTAAAATGTACTCATGGCGTAAAAATGTACTCACGGCGTAAAAATGTACTCATAGAGTAAAAATGTACTCATGGAGTAAAAATGCACTCATAGAGTAAAATGTACTCATGGAGTAAAAATGTACTCACGGCGTAAAAATGTACTCATGGAGTAAAAACGTAGTCATGGAGAAAAAACGTACTCATGAAATAAAGGAAAATTTATCCCCCCAAAAAAATGATGATTTTACAGTACTTGATGACCTCAATGTAAATAGGCAAATATCAATATATGCTAACAATTCAGAAATTCTATGTATGAGATTATTTATATTTAAAACTTCAATCCATGAAAAAGTACATAAACAGACCTTGATTTTACCTGTAAATATCTTCAAACAATTGAGTATACCTTAAAACAACAGAGTTTACCTTAAAACAACAGAGTAAACCTTTTCACAACAGAGTAAACCTTATAACAACAGAGTTTAAACTTTTCCTTCTTGTTAGCCCATTATGTTACTGAAATTATGACCAATTTACAGGATATAATGATAATTTATGCCTCTGAGAAATTTGAGCCAAAAATTGTTAGCATATTTCCTAATGTGAGAAATTGTCGAGTATAAGTCACATATTTGGCTTAAAATGTTTCATATCAAAATTTAGCTGAAAATATTTTCGTCATTAAAATTTGCCTTGAAATATTTTGCTATCAAAATTTGACTTTAAATATTTTGACATCAAAATTTGGCTTAAAATGTATTCACATCAAAACCAATATCATATCTGTCTTTACATGTTCATTCTAAGCTACACATCAAACAAATGGTTCCACTAATGGTTTGAAGATTTAAGATATCAAATAAATATCTTTGAAACATTTTTACTGATTTAACTTTTAATCTGACGACAGAACCACTGCATGAGACTAATCATTACAATGGCATTATGCTTCCATCAAGGGGCATGTTTGGCGAGAAGATATCAACTCGAAAAAATGATGTAGTGAGCCAACAAATCATGTCCATTTTTTTTAGTAATTACTAGCTACACACTTCAGTCTTTAATCAAATAAAAACAAAATCTGAGGAATCGACATCTAGATCTGTGATTGATCAAATGTCCCTTAAATTATTTGTTTAACGGTAAAAGTGAAGAGAAAAAATAAAGGTTCAAGTCCTACCATATGTGAGATGGTGAAATCGATAGAGGACAGATTTGTAATGTTGTCAGCACTGTGTCATCTATCAAACATTGAAAGTTTTACCAGTCTTTTGTGAAAAAACAAACTTTTCAACACATTTTTTTTAATTAAACATATGTTTAGCAACCTTTTTTGTAAGCAAATTTAATGCATTTTTTTCACTCCATTTCAGATCACATTTTTTTTCAAACTCAATCTCTTTATTTTGCTTTTTTTTTGTTTTTTGTTTTTATTTTTTATTTTTTTCCAGATAATTATCTTTTTCGCTTCTCCTTTTAATTGATTATATTACATATTTGTACTTCAGGATTTAGTTCCATTTTTTAGATCAATTTTAATTTAAAATTCTTTGAAACAATTTAAAAAGATTCTTTACAAGAGAAAATATTGTTGTAATAAGAATCATTAAAGTGATTTACAAATTTTGTGAAACCTACTTTTGATTTGTTTTCCATTCTACAAATTAAACAATTGATCAACCTATATCCCCATATGACTTTTTATCAAAATATTTTCCAGATCAGTGATACCTTGGAAAGTTTGCTTTCACTATTTCTTTCATACAAGTTATATAGAAATGACTCAGTCTATGGTCACCATTTTTTAAAAACATATTTCAATTCAACATTCTTATCATATTTTTATTTCATTTTTTTCGGTTCAATATAATTAACACATGATAAATTGAAAAACAATGTTTTCAAACGTAATAAAGCCAGTGGAGGTATATATGTGTTGTAGAGAAATTTTGAAATAACCAATATTGTGACTATAATACAAAACAGGATATTAGTAGCTGAGGACAAAACAAACTTGACATTTTTGGTCTGAGAATGGCACTTGTCTTTGATACAAACCTGGAGGTGTTTAATAATCTCCAAAATTCTCCGACGCTCTGGAGAATTAGGAGACCACGTTGGTCTCAGGATATGGCATTTTGCCAGCAATGAAATAATACTAGATTTAATCTTTTATGACAAAATATGAATTCCATAATGACATGGACTCATTAGTTCAAGTCCCTGCGGCTGTGGTTATAATCTCCCCGAAAACCAGGCGAAGTTACTCAATGCGTCCAAAAGACCCCGGCCCTGGAATGTCTATGCTAGCAAGGGATTACAAGAAGATTTACGCAGGTGCCAACACAACACTACTACATATAAATACTATTTTCTTTAATCATTATCCCTCTTTCTAGATCTCTAATGATCTTATCATAGTCAATATTGTTTCTGAACATTTTCAAAATAACATCAATTTCTATAGAATATTACTCTACACCATACAAATTTATCACCAGAATAACATTTGACTTGCTTTTAGAGTTCCAAAATAATTTTTTTTCTTACTTATTTGAAATATTCAACATTTAAATATCGAATTTTAAGACATGTCCATTCCTGTTGGGATAAGCATAGTAAAAGTGACAGGTGTCTGGGTGTTTTTAAACCCTAATTATGACAATAATGTTATTCAGCTATGAACAATAATTAAATATCAGGTGAGATATTATGTCATATTAATGATACTGATGTAATACCAGACACTAAGAGTGTAGCTCATTCACGGTAACAAGGTGATCTAAACCTTTAGTGATAAAATATCTCATAACCGTCCACTGTTAACAAGAGTGAAAGGAGATTTAAACGGTCACAAAGTAAGATATGACATCACCATAAATATCTGAAATGACTTTTTGTATAGGGTAAGGGTTAGATGATGTTTTGTTATTTTAAACATTATCACCATCTCCATCACGAAGACAGAATCACTGGAACATCTC